TGGTACGTGACGTAGGTAAGCCCACGTAATGAGACTTGGAAGGAGAAATCAACATGTGATGCCTTCTCCTCCTTTCCCTGGCCCTACCCCACAGGCAACAGGCTGATGTCACACTAAATGATCTCTTCAGTAAGAGTGGTACTGAAATGTACACACCTTGGGAGCAAATCAATTCTTCATGACCGTAAGATTGTTAAGAAATTCAATACATGCACATTCATAACTAAGAATGGTTTAAAAATAAACAATCAATTTCAAACTCATTTCAAGGTAATAATAAACTCTCAATGACCCGTGAGGGGATGGCTCTCTAGGGGGAGCTCAGGATACCTCTTCGTTGCCCAGTGAGATTCCAGGCTACCCGTAACGGGACAGACTGGGCTAGACCAAAACCAGTGAATATGCTGTAGGCCTGACTACCTTCCAAAACAGAAATGCATAATTTTAAAACCGTGTTGAACTATCTGCAGTTCTGTCCTCCAAGACCCTTACTAAAAAGGCAAGATTAAATGTCAACATGAACAAGTCTGAAGTTGAACACCAAAACATTTTATTTATAAACACCTACAAGTAAAACTCTGGGACCTCTTCTCCATCACGTGCTAGAATGTTCAACGTGACCGTTAATTAGGTTGGGAGCCTTCAAATGAAGTTTTCTCAAGCAGGCTGTGTGGATTTCTGCCTGTAGCCATAGTGAGTAACATTTCACCACATGAAAGAAGATACTGAGTCTACAACCTCTGACCCTCCAGGCCCAACTTGCTCATGACAGCTATCTCTGGTGTCTTCTGGGTCTTTCCTAAAGAAATACCCACTGGGGGATCAAAACAACCCAAAGCATATAAAGGAGATGGGCCCATCTGTGCATTCTTCCCAGGGTGCAGCATGGAGACATTTTGGAGCCGTCAAGGCATGGAAACAGACAGGCCAAGCAAACATCAATGCCACGGGCAAGCTAGCAGCTAATGGACCAGAGAGCGCCTCCAACAGGCCCCGACCACATCCATCTAAAGCTGCAAGAGCCCTCCCAGCTCTTCCTGCTCCTGACCCGCTAAAGCATGAAGTACAAAACGGATCTTCCATCCTGGGTACAAGCCTCACATGATCAAACGTCAAGGCCTATCCTACAAACCGAGACAATCAGATGCCTGGTCCGTGGAATAAGTACCCTGATTTCAGGTCTATGACATGTGCAGCTGAAAGGGGGCAGGGTGGGAATGGATGCATCCTCACTACCCACTTCACCAAATCATCTTTAGGAAAATGTGGAGGCCTTTATTTAGGCTATTTATCTTGTTTTGTGCAAGATCTACTTGCACTTAGAAGTTGCTGTAATTTTTTCCCTTTAATATTTTACAGTTGAGTATCCTCCCCCCAGCCCCATCCCCGCTTACTATCTAAGAATTAACCATGTGCGGAGAGACAGATCTTTTCTAAAAGCCTGTGATGCGTTTTTGTGATTGATTAGACATGATAACAATTACCAGGATCAACAGGCTCTAAGTTATCAACAGTAAATTCTGATACCTCTCCCAACATCCACCCTCGCCTCAACCTTCGCACTGCTCTGTTCCAAGCCAACCAAGGGCTACTGGTACATACTCCAGAGTTCATTTACTCTATTTATGTATCAGGAGAATAAACAGCTGTGCTGTGTGTTTGCCTTCTTCAGACAGAGGTATCAGTCCACAGTCACTAGATGATCAGAACCCTGCAGAAAGAACTATTATTAAAATATCCATGTTGTATTTAGCTATTAAAAAATTGACTACCTACAATCTGCTCTAAAGAAATGCCGCTGGAGACCTGAAACATACACAGACACAGCCACACACAGACACACAGACATACACACACACACCCCAAAAGAGAGAGAAGACAAACTGTACACATACACAGCATAGAGATTCTTCCTGCAGAAAAGTGCTGATCCAGACCTGCCCAGAGGAAATGAGTTCTTTTTAAACACAAAAAATGCAATCAGGGATAATCAGCAAGTTAACAACACACTTGCAAACACCCTAGTCCCTAGAAAGGAAGAATGCCAGCTTTCAATGCAAGTTCTGAGAACAGAACAGATCCTTTGGGCAAATGAGGAAACAAGTGATCATGTCAGCGTCTTCGGGCAGAACTTTCTCCAAAGCCAAGAAGCTTTGGGACAGCAGTGAGCTCCAGAAGGCACCTGCTTCTAAGAAGTGCTTCAATAACCACATTCCCAAAGTGGCTTTGTAGGTTGGGGTTGCCTCGGCTCCTCTTCCCCGTCCGCTTTTCCAGTGGGCTCCGTGGGGGAAAAAAGAAGCCAAAAAAAGGTGGTATGCATGTCTTGAATCTCCCTCTCCTGCAGCCCACCCACAGGAAGGGAGACGCAATGCCCAGTGCATTCCAACCCAGGTAAGCAGCCGCAGAGACCTGGGGAGGGCTTCCACAGTAGCCCCTACATGACCTACGAAGGGGCCTCCAACAAGACCCCTCAAGCTGTCCTAGTCTCCAGCATGTACCACCTGTGAAATAAACTCGGCTTTGATTTAAAAAAATTTTTTTCATAATTGTGGCTCAAGTTCATATCAATTACAACCTGCTCTAGGCTGGGTGGGCTGTTGTGGGACGGTTTCAGGAACCCCTGCAGATGTTATTTTTAATTACAAACCACAAGGCAGGGAAGAAATCCTGGGAGTCAGTGCTGAGACACACATCTAGCCCCACTTACCTGACCTCCCTTGTCCTATTGCTTCTCAATCTTGGCTGCACAATAGAATCACCTGGGGAGTTTAAAAGTATACAGATGCTTGGATCCCACCCCCAAGAAAATTCTGATTGAACTGGTCCATAGGGTGGGCCGAGAGTTTTTAAACTCCCTTAAGTGATCCTAATATGTGCTGCCAAGCTTGAGAACCACTGTTCTGCCCTACACCATCCCACCACTTCCATGGAGAGACCAGCATGGGACAGCAACACATCTCTAGAAGAATCCTGGGCTTGACTCCGAAAGAATAGGAGAAAATCGAATTTCTTTACCTCTTCCTCATCCCAGCCTTCCAGCACACATCCCCCTGTGGTCACTTCTCACGTTCTTCGTCACTTCAACTCTCCCTCCTGCTCAAAGCTAGGGCTTCCGTGAGTCCCAGAGTCCAGGAATCCGGATTTTAAGTATTTGTCAAAGTAGAGTCTAGACCACTTCCTCTCACATGTAATCCCAAATAGTCAGAATTTGGTGAATAAGGTAAGGGCAGTCTAAGTCTTTGGGCATGAGTCCCCCCTTCCCTCTCCCTGGGAAGCTGTAGTTGAATTTGGGGGTGCCTCTCCAAGGCTATGCTGAGTATGGCCAGCCCCCTCAGGCACTTGGCTGGACAAGGGTCCTGTCAGTCTCCGTGTTTTCCTGTACCATTCTCACTACACGGAGAGGTGAAGGGAGGGCAGGAAAAAAGAACCTCATATGAAAAATCCTGCTGCTGGAACAAGGTGCTGAGTAGGCCCATCCCCAGTTGCCTCATCCACCCTCCAGACACTTCCCCCAAAGACTGTGGGAGGAGGAGCCAGCGGAAGGGCTGGGATGACAGCGGGCCAAGCATGACCTGCACTCCATCCACCCTCATTCTCCTTTGCACAAGCATTCTTCATCCTGGGGGCTAAGGAGGAATTGATGGGGAGTTTCCCATCCATCCCAAGGGTCCAACTCTCAAGGGATCAGGAGGGACAGAGGTAGCCACATTGCCCATTTCTATTGGATTTCTTGCTCTGCGCTGACCCTGCTAAGTTGCGCTCCAATGGAAGGTGCTGAGCTGGGGCCCATGTCCTGCAGTCTACTCCAGCTAGCCCTTTGAGTAAGGAGCCCAGGACTGAGTAGCCAGGATCCTCTTCTTGCTGAGATCTGTTGGGTTTCCCATTGAGAGCAATCAAAGGATTTCCACCCCCTCCTCAGGGAAAGGGACCAGATTATCTAACACATAACTAAAGATGGCCTTCCACCGCAGTGTTGGTTTCCGTCCAGGGTCTTGGTCCTCACCCCACCCCAATGGGTGGGTCTCTAGTAAGAGAGGGCTCGGGGAGAAGGTCTTACCTTCTGAACAGAGCTTGCCTCCATAGCCAGTGGTGGAACAGTCACAGGTGGGGTGGCCATCCAGGAGAAAGCAGATCCCCCCATTTTCGCAGGGACGCTCACCGCAGGGTCCCTCGGCGTCCAACTGGACACCCTGGCTCCCCAGAAGCCGAGGCTCTGAGTTGCCATACTTGAGATCCAGGATTAATCCTCTGAAACCCGGCATGGCCTGTACTCCATCAAGGGTCAGGGCAGAAGGTCGTATGTCCGCGGGGACTCCGCCAAGGAACAAGTCACTGACCACATCCATGTAGGGCCGCTGAGGCTGCAGCTCAGCCGCCTGGCCCTCGCCGTCGAGCACCAGCACCGTGCGCAGGCGGTCGCGGCTCACCATGAGGAAGTGCCAGCCACTGTCATTCACCTGCTTGCTGGACAGCACCGCGGTCTCCGCACAGTCCATGCTGAAGCGGAGCTGCACGCGGCCATCTACCAGGGAAAGGCAGAGGAAGTCACAGACGCCACCGTCATCCAGGTAGAGGAGCAGCCCCGTGGACACATTGGTCTTGAACTGGAAGCTCAGGTCGCTGCGGGTGCTGGCATCCCAGCGGAGGTAGCGGGCCCACTGGTTGGGGAGGCCCATGAACTCGAGGCCCAGGCAGAGCCCCAGCAGCGACCCCAGCAGGACGCTCACCTTCAGGGTGAAGAAAATCGAGTTTGCGGCGAAGCCCATTGTGGCTGTCAGGACCGAGCCCAGAGGAGCCGACGACGACGGGCGGGGGACGCCCTCAGGGGAGGATCCCCCTTGGCAGCGGAAGGAAGAGAAGAAGAGGAGATGGGCCTGGGGGAGGGACAGAGAGCACACAAGAGGACGGAGGCGCACACACACAAATATCCAGAGGGTGAGGAAGAAGGAAAGTGGACAAGATGGCCCCAGATGGGCGCAAGAGCAAGAAATTCAACAAAGAGGGAGGAGAAGGCAGGGCAGCAGAAGAGGAGGAAAGTCAGGTGGGAAAGTGGGGGACTAGAATGAGGAGCCAAGTGTCCTCCAAGAAAAGATCTCAGCTATCCATGTGGATCCGGAGGCCTTGATTCGAGGAGGAGAAGGTACACGGCGGGTGGAAGGCTTCAGCAATGCACTCCTCCCAACGGACCCCCAAACGCCCCAGCCAGGGAGGCCGGGGTGAGGGCTGGGGTGGGGGTGCCGTGATGGGGGAGGCGTGAGCAGTGGTGAGGCGAGCCAGGTGAAAGGCAGAAACAGGCCAAGGACCAGTCCTGAAGTTTTACCTCCTAGCAGCAGGGGGCTGCAGGGAGCGGGGAAGCCCAAAGCTGAGTGCTCAGGCAGAGCAGGGCCCAGGGCAGAGCCGAAGCAGGTTCAGGCTTCATGGTGCGGGCCAGAGGCAGTCCTGCCCATAACCTGCCTCTCAGGACTCCAGAAAAAGACCTGCAGGGAGAAGGGAGGGAGGTAGAAAGAAGAGAAAGATTAGGGCAGTGTCAGGAAAACATTGCACCGTATTTCACAAATATTGATGAATTGCTGACTAGGAGTCAGGCTACTCTAGTGATTCCCATAGTACCTGGTGCTTTATTTTTTTTTTTTTAATTTTATTTA